ATATATGAAACAAAATGAGTTAAGGTTCTATTTTAAATTCTCAGGCTTAGTTTATGGAAGAAAAAAAAAACGTAAGTGGCAAAATCTACCACTGAAATAATTAGGAAGAGAAAAAGGAAATTCCTGATGCTGCCTGGCTGGCATCCTCTTCCCCCCACATGGGGAAAAGGACAGGCTGGTCCCTGCGGCCTGTGGCCTGTGGCCTGTGGCTGGCTGGTGCTAGGTGGCAGGTAGAAAGTGGTACTGACTCCTCTTCCCAATTCGCTCTCTAGACACCCTGTCTTCTGCACCAGGAACTGAACTCAGGGCCTTCACACGAAGCTACATTCTCAGCTCTTTCTTATTCTAGACAGGGCCAGCATGGCTGGACTCCAGCCTGAGATCCCCTTGCCTCAGCCTCCCAGAGTACTGTGATTAAAGGCGTCAGCACACCTGGTTCGCCAGCACACCAATTTTGGGTCTGGACTTTATGGCCCCGCCAGCCGGGCCTCTGCCTCTTCCTACGTCCTGCCCTGAAGTCTCCAGCCCTGCGGGGTCCCGCCCTGCACCCTGCTCTGGCCTCCTTCCTCCAGGAGGGCCTCAGCCTGCCCCTTGTCTCCACTGTGATTGCCCTGATGGGCACAGGTCCCTTTAGAAACACAAACCAGACAGGCATTTTCCAGACAGAGAAAAATGCCTTCAGCCCACGGGGTCTGCCGCGGTCTTCCGCCCCTCCATGCCTCCCGCCCCTCTGCTCTCCCCAGGTTTTCTCTGTGTCAGGCCTGGGAGGCCCTGCTCTGAGCAGGAGGATGGGGTAACGGGGACCCAGGCCTGCAGGAGGGACGATGCGCCAGCCTCACCGAGTGGCTTGCAGACCTTTGTGGGCTGCTGAGAAGCCCCCGCCACCCTTGGCTTCTCCCAGGAAGTCAGAGGACACTTCCCTTCCCAGTGGGGACTTTCTGGGCTCCTTCACAGCTGCCTGGCCCTCCTGCTGTCCTCTCTTGGTGCAGGTTTGTTCTCCGTGGAGTTTGAAGGGGCCTTGGGGCTCCCCTGGTCCAAACCCCTCCCTTTAGGGGTGGGGAGACTGAGGCCTGGGGGGTGGGAGCTTCCAGGGTCACAGCTGGACCACAGCCATGCCCGCCACTGGATGCAGGCTCATCTGCCCGCTGTCCCTCTCCCCGCCACCTCACTATGCCTCTCTGACCCCGTCCTCCTCCATCTTCTCAACTCGGGACTTGCCTGTGCCCCTGTGCCCTGCCCTGGTGCCCTGCCCCTGCGCCCTGCCCCTGCAGGCACAGCAGCCGGCCGGCAACTTCCTGCCTGCGCTGGCTGGTGGGATGCCCAGGACTGGGGTGCCCACTTGGGACACCACGTGGGTGTCTATGGAGACTCCTCCCACCAGAAAGTGCAGGGACAGTGATCGCCTGCTTGCGCACCCTTCCCCGCACCCCACTACCCTTCCCTCTGCAGGCTAGAAGGCTGTGGGGACCCACCTGCTCGAAAGGGCTCTTGCTCCTCAGGTCTTTGGCTCCCAGGAAGACCCAGCTGTCCCGGAAGCCCAGGTTCTTGGCGTAGGAGCTGCCCAGGTTGGTGAAGAGCTTCCTGATGTCATCGTTAATTCTGTGGAGGACATGGCCGGCCTGGGCAGGGGGCACTGAGGGACACGAGTTGGGGGGATGGGAAGGAGGTGCCCAGCTCCCCACCCTGTGAGCAGCACCCCGGCCAGAGGATATGGGGGGCCTCTCGGGCTCAGGGTGGGAGTGGCATCAGGCAGTCCTGCCCTCTTCACAGTGGGTCACGAAGAGAAATAACTGAGGACCTCGTAGGGGAGTGACTGAGCCATGAGAACCTCCTCCTCCAATGCCATCATCATGGGTCACTGTGTGAGTGTCATGCTGTACTTACAGGCTGAGATGTCCCTGATGCCACTAAGTGGCCTCATGCTACGGGGCTGGTAAGGAGGCGTGGGTCTCCCGCACCGCACCACAATCTCACGCTGGGAGCCGCCTCACCTCCTAACTTCTGTACCCAAAGGCTGGGAGCAGAACATTCCTTGAGCCCTGGCCTGCTTATTTCCCTTGGTTAAGTCATCAGAGCAGGGCGCTGGGATGTGGAGGTCTTTGACTTGCATCACTACATGGGCCTGCGGGTGAGGCTGCCACTTACTTGGTGCCTGGGTCGTCGTAGGAGGCCACCAGCACCAGGGTGCCCTCTGTGATTTCTGCAAGGAATTTCAGCAGGAGGTTGGGATCTGTGGAAGGGAGGACAGTGAAGAGCAGGGCACTAGGGGGTGTCGTCTCCTTCTCTCAACTTCCTTCCAGGGCAGGAGCAGCAGGAGGCGGGCTCCTGCAGCCTATGAGCAAAGCGAAGGGCCCTCATGCCAGTGGTGGGGCTGAGTAGACATGGTGTCTGAAAGCCCCCCAGGGCTCTGTGGTGCACCATTGGCCAGAGTCCTTCTGCCCTAGTACTGGGGAGGCGGAGGCAGGAGGCCTCTAAGTTCGAGGCCAGGCTGGGCTGCATAGTAAGTTCAAGGCTAGTCATGACTAGATAGTGAGACTCTGTCTCAACGTAACAATAACAACAACCACAGTAGCCCTTATAGGTCTACTCCAGGGGACTGAGAGTTCGAGCTCAGGCACCCTGGTTGGTCAATGCCCAGGTGAGCTGTATGTTTCTTTTTATTCCTCACAAAACACGTGATAATGGTTTTCTGCTTAGGGATACCATACAGTTTTCTAAGGTATATTTACTCAGGTAAAACAGCGAGCTGCCTTCAAGGAAGGAGCTAGCAGCGCAGGGGTATCTTGCATGAGGTGCAGCCTAAGAAAGGTGCTCCTGAGTGGCTGCACTTGGAAGGAGCGACCTCTACACTAAAGCACGGACAACATCTGTCAAAGGCAGATGAGGAGTCACTCATTTGCAGCATCTTGGTAGAGCTTCAATGGGACACTGACATTGCGCCCAGGGGAAACGCGCTTCAGTGGAATCACACGTTATTAGCACTGGCTCCGCAAGTGCTGGGGCCCAGTGCAAAACAAAAATGGGGGACCTTTCATTAAAAAATTTTTCAGAGCAGAACATCCAAGCCCCAGGCAAGCTACTGGGGCGGGGAGGGGGAGACTCGGAGGACAGGGACGCCAGATCAGGTCCTGTCTGTGCTAAGATGACTTTCTAAGGGGCAGCCACGTGCTCAGAGAGGCCGCAGACCCTGTCTTGCAGGGATAGAAGCGAAGACCTCTGCAGAAAGATACAGAGGACATGTGTCTGAGAGGTCCTTCCTGGACTCCCAGTGGCCCTGTCCTGACCTTGGCGACACTAGACGCCACTGTGGCCTGGACGCGCTCTTTCCCTAGCACTGATCCCTGGGCAGAGTTGGGGAAACAGCCAGCATTAGTATGTCCAGGATTGAGGGTCCGCCTCAGCCCCCAGGGCTCGCACATACCCTAGCATCTGTGCACTATGACCGGGGTGATCCCAGGACACTGGCTTCAGTGACGGGGGCACCCTCTGCTCACCCCCCTCCCCCCCGTGGACATGAACCCTGCTCTCGAATCCAAGCCTGAGAGGCCCTGGTGTGCACCACTCAAGGTATTCAATGGCAGCAGGCAGCTTGGGCCCAAGCCGGCTGCGCCCAGGTCCCCCACTGTGGGGCAGTCATCCGCCCAGCGACACCATGCTGAAGGTGCCTACCTCCCGTGTACATGTCGAAGGAGCTCATCCTCATCACCCGTCCCGTGGTTCCTAGGGTCAGAGAGCAACAGTTATGTCCTGCAGAGCCAAGACCTGCTTGTCTTTCTGCTGAACACGGCCACTCCTGGTCAAAGGTCTAATTGTAGCTTAGGCACGGAACAGACTTAGGTCCTATAAAAACCAGGCAGGACCAGAGAAGGTGCCCAATAACGCTGGGTTGACTCGAGAGGAACACGAGTGCTGTGGCTGACTGTCCCAGAAGGAAAAGGAATCCGACCAAGCTGGTCTGCTGATTGCTCATGGGCAAACGCAGCCTCGTTGACCTCAAGCTTTGCATGCGTACAGTGGGTTGCAGGATTGACAGTGAGGTGTGCTTAAGATAGTAAGCATACGAATAGATTATGGGGCCAACCAGATAGCTCAGTGGTCTAGAGCGCCTGCTTAGCCAAGTTTAGGAAAGTGCAGGGAGGTTCGATTCCCGGCACCACATGCCGTGCAAGCCCCACCCCCAGGGCAGGCTGAGCCAGCCACAAAATAGATTCTGGCTGCAAGACAGGCATGAAAACAACGACCACTATCCTCCTCACTGTGCCCACCTATACTGAAAATCTCCAAGTTTGCAAGGGAAAAGGACTTGCATTGGGCTACATGGCGCTTAGCTGTCCATAGTTGTCGTCTGCGTTGCTTTAGCAGAGGAGCCTGCAGTTTGGGAAGGAAGGTGCAGTTCTCTCCTTACGCCACGAGATGGGAGTGTTGCAGAGCGAATGGAAGTTCTGCGGACAGGCGCAGGTGCGCAGCCCCGCCCGCACTGGCTGCTTGGAGCCCAACAGGGTCCTCGGACAGCTTCATGGTGCTCTGGGGTTTTGGGGTGAAGGGAGGACCCTGTGGGTTGGCCCGGGCCACACCTCCTCCCTGCCTTGTGTTCTCAGGTGTTGAGAGCCACTTGTGCCGATGGAAGTCAGGGCAGAGGCAAGCGGGTGAAGGGTCACTCCAGCAGGGACTTTGGCCACGGAGGGCAGAGGGCATGATGGGGCGGGTGGGATCCTAAGCAGGAGGCCCTGAGAAAGGTCTAGGCTTCCTTGCGCAGAGAAAGCCCATGGGCCGGCCTTTCCTCCCTGCTCCTCACAAAGCCAGAGATAGCAAATACCCAGCAGTAACAGCAGGAAGCCGCATGCCTAGCCCTTCCTAGGTGCTGCTCCACGCACCTCCAGCGCCTCGTTAGCCTTGAGCCATGCTCAGTGTCTATTTTCTGGGCAAGGCAAAACAAGTCTCTGGTGGCAGGGCATCCCCTGTGCCCTGCTCTCAGTGGGGTATGCAGCTCAAGCCCTGGGTCCCGCTGTGATCCCAGTCTCACACTCTGCCGTCTCCTTCCAGGTTTCAGCCAGAAAGAGCCCATGTCACTCTGCTTCCCACAATGCAGCTCCTCCAGGAAGGACACGCCCTGCTTTCTCTCAGCCACCCTGTTCTCGAGGGCCTAGCTGCCCACTGTCCCTTCTGGAAGCCTTCCCTGACTACCCTGGTGGTACCACCCACGGGGCTGTCCATCCGGTTGGCAACTGCCCTGGTGCCCAGTAAGGCCTGGCCCACATAAGCTGCTGTGAAGGCTGTTCTCTGAGTGAATGAATCCCTGTGGAGCAGAGGCTGAGCCCAGGGCTGTGTGCGTGCGTGCGTGCGTGCGTGTGTGTGTGTGTGTGTGTATGGTGGGGTGGCCTAGGGTGGGGAGGCCCCAGATAGGGGTAGTGGCCAGGCGTGGCCAGCCCCATGGGCAGACCAGGGCTTGGGGGCCATGGGTGCCCAGGCCGGCTCGCTCCCACTGGGCGGTAGCTGAGCCCTCGCGGCTGTGCTGCCCCTGCCCATCCCAGCACTACTCACCGTTCACCAGGGCGACATTCAGGCCTCTGCCCACGTTGTTCTTCACAGGACTCATGAGGCTGGGGGAGGAGAAGGAGCGAGGTACAGCGCGGGCCCAAGAGGGGGCAACCTCGCGGCTGGGGACCCAGGCAGGGCTTGGGGGCCACACATGCTAACTGGGGCCAGCCCTGTACTCCTGGGCACCAGTGGCCCTGGGGCCCCTGGGGTGTGACTCATAGCCCATTTGGGCCAGGATGGTCTGCCGGGAGAAGGGGCCTGGTCCCTGCCTGCTCCCCACCTGGCAGCCATGAGGACGCTGTCAGCGTTTCAGTTCTGGGGTGGCTAGGTCCCCTTGTAGGGCACAGCTGGCTCCTTCCCGCCTGCCTCCTGGTGGTCCTCAGGGGCTGTGCTTGTGCATTCCCACTCCTGGGCCTGGCCACTCCCAATCTGGGCAAGCCCAGCCTCCGGTGCTGCGGGCCACGCACAGCTGTGTCACCCAGGGCAGTGAGGGAGACCCAATGTTGGCACTTTTACGGTGATTCAGAGGATCAGTCTTTCCAGGGACTGTGACGCCAAACCAGTGGGTGGCCTCCTTTCTCCACCACTCAGAGTCGTCTATTTTTAGTAAAGAAAAATGAAGCTGACAGAAGAAAGTAGAGCTGAGGATTGGCAGGAGGGGGTCTGGAAGATATACCCTGGACCCCCGGATCCAGCTGGGCCTGAAACCCACTCCCTCTAAACTTTTAGGTGTGGGAACTACCAGCTCCTTGCTTTGCCCAAGCAGATCATATTAGGTTCAGGATTCTGATTTAAATACCAGCCTGCCTGCTTTTGCAGGATGAGCTTGTCCTTTACTATCTAGGTAGGATAAGGACTGTCCAGTGTCTAGCGGAAGCCCTGGTACCTGCCGTGTCTCACTTTGATGTCCGGTACTTATCCTGAGTCTTTCCCCTAGGGAACTCCTTCTGTAGGGAGTGTGACTCTTAGGAAGATCTGAGTTCAAATCCTGACTTCAACTTTGGCTGGGCACGTGACCCTGTCTGAACCTCACTTTCCTCTTCTGTAAACAGGGATGGTGACAAGCACATCCTGGGGTGCCCAGGGGCAAGAGGGTGCTCAAATACTCAGTCAAGAAGGACTTAGCAAGGTGGGGCAGCCCTAATGCTGTTAGGGTTTGTTGTGATTTGTAATTCAGGTGCCTGGAGTGAGAGGCAGTCTAGGAAAGCTGTTGCTCTGGAAGCCAGTGGTCCCCTGAGGCCTGGGCTTTCCAATGAATGAATGAATGAATGAATGAATGAATGAATGAGAGAAAGGAGCCCAGATGCCCTCAGGTACTTACATTTCATTTTCAAAGCACATGGAGGGGCCCACGACGTTGGCGGCCCCACTGCAGATTTTAAAGGCGAAGAAGTTGGCTGGGCAGGGCTTGCTGAGACCACACTTGGACTTGGGGACTTCTGCGGAGTCAGAGGAGCTTTGGGAAGGGGTGGCTGGGGCTCTGCTGGCCCCCAGAAGCACAGGCCCTGGCTATGCACCCAGCCACTCCTCTCCCTCTGAGGCTTCCCCTGCCAGCCCCAGCGTACCCCAATAAGTATGAGGAGCACCGGTGTAGCTGGTGCCCGAAGTCACTGTGCAGAAAGGGACCTCTTGAGCACCTCTGCCCGGGGCTGCAGCAGCCTGCTGAGCCCCACAGGGCCCTGCTGACAACCACCTGGGCCCTGGTCTGGTGTGTGGGTGGGGGTGCTTGGAACCTCATCTTCCTCATCCAAAGAATGAGGGTGTGTCTGTCACGATTCCGTCTTCCTCACTCGTGCACAAGTACCTCCTAAGTGCCAGGCCCTGGGCTGCCACGGGGAGTGGGCAGGTGGCCCTGTCCCCTACTCAGTGCTTATAAGACACCTGGCAGCCCCGCAGCTCCTCCGATGACTGCAACCAATACCCTCGCAGGGAGAACCCAGGAGGCCTGGGCTGGCAAAGGTGGGGCCCTAAGCTGCAGGTGCTGCCAGGCTTTTTGTGAGCTGGGACGCCAGGGCACTGTCAGTCCAGCAGGGTCCACTTCACCCAAGTGTGTTTTAAGCACTGCCCCATGGGGTAGAGATGGCAGCACAGGGAGGGCCAGGAAGGCAGAAGCAGAGGGCGCCTGCTGCAGGGTGCAGGGGTGCGGTCCTGTAATCCACGGGCAACACCCACCCTCGGCTCCCTTCCTTCGTCTTGGGCATCCTTAGTGGGAACTGGCCGGGAATGATGATGCCCAGGACAGACAGGACTGGGGCCTAGAGGACGGCACCTTGCGCCTCGCTGCCCGGGACCCGGTCCTGCCTGGGGAGTCAGCTGAGGTGCTGTTGCCTGGGGTCTCAGGCAGGGCCTGGCTGCCCCACCCCTCCATCCCCCTGCATTCTCTGGAGGCCTGAACAGGGAGGGGTGAGTTTCAGGCCCCGGGGACCATGGCTACCATTCACCCAGGGCCTGATCCTCCACAGTGAGTCTCTAAGCTGCACACCAGCAGCCTGGCTTAGGCTGGCTTTACCAGAATTGATTTCTTGACCATCCATCCTTCCCAGACAGGCTGCTGGAGGAGGGAGGTGCCGCCCGGGGTCTCAGCCATGGGGAGCCAGGATTTACTCTCTGGATTCTGACCGAGAGGCTTCCATGCCCAGTTGCTCCTAGCCCTGGTCTCAGCCTCTGAGGCGACCCTAGTCCAAGTCCCCAGGGCTGGAGCTGGCACACTCTCAGAAAACAGAGCAGGGACAGGCAGGACCCTTCCGGTGCTCTGCAACAATATGCTGGTATATGTCTCTCTCTCTCTTTTTTTTTTTTCTTTTTTGCCAAGTGTGAAATCAGGGAGTTGGTTAGATCAAGTGGTAAGTAGGTTTCCTCTTAAATATCAACTTGGACCTACTGTTAGGGACCTACTGATACAGCTGCAAAGGCTGCCTTCAGGCCTGGAAGGAAAGAGCGCTGGGACTGATTGGTGATGTCTGCCCCAGGAGCAGCCAGGAGAGGAGGTGGCGTGCGCATGTGCGTGCATGCGTGTGTGTTTAGGCTACTTTGAGCTTCTGTGTCTGCTTTAGAACCCAAGTGCAGATGCTCCAGGAGATGAGGGTGAAGGATACAGGAAAATAGATCTCAGTCACTCTTGTTGTCTGCTCTGTGTAATCCGATGCCCTCCTTAGCTGGGAGGCACTTACCCCTGGAACTGCGGCCCTCATCAGAGTCACCTCAACAGTAGGGCTGGCAGTGTGGCCTTGTGCCAAAGGCTGTTAAGGAGCTTGTCTCTGGGTTAGTTGGGGGGGGTGTGCGTCCTGGAGTTGGTGCTTGCGACTCAGTGGGCCTCCGTGTCCTCACTACAGAGAGCGGACAACTATAGCAGCTATGTGGGGGTGTGGGGTGGCGCCTGAGAAGCGTGAACACAGCGTGTGGCCTGGAGTAAGCACTGTCGCCATACACTGCACGCAGCCATCACTTCTGACCTCCTTCCTGTCCCCAGGAGCCGAGGAAGCCCTGTCCGAAGCCCACAGCGGCTCAGCCCTCCTCCCCACCACGGCTTCGTCCACACTACCCAAGCGGCTGACTCCACCAAGCCCTACACTGGGGCCCCAGGGTCCCTGTGCCTTGGGTGGTCCTTGCTCTCCAGCCCAGCTGATGGGCTCTGTCCTGCCTGCAGCCCCTCTGGCCTCTCCCCCTGGAGCCCAGACATTCACCTCTGCTAGCAGCACGCCTGGCATTTCCACCCCTACGGTCAGTGCCCCTTGTTTTTGTCCCAGGTCCCTGTGGCATTTGACACTTCCCGGCAGCTAAGCCAAGCCTGGGGTCCTTGCAACAGTGACACCCAGGGGCTCCCAGCCAGGCAGGGTACAGAGGGGGAGGCAGGGGTGTCCTGTGGTCTGGACCCAGGAAGGGAAACCCAGCGTCCCATCCCTGCCTGTGTGAATGGCTGGGTGACCCCCCGCCCCCCGCCCTGCTGCCACAGGTTGTACCAGATTTCGCTGGGACCCACAGCACTGGGCATGTAGACCTTAGGACACCCGGCCCTAGAAGAGACGGGGGCTGGCAGATACTCACGGATCTCCTTGGAGGCCACACCTGGGGAGAGAAGGTGGAATCATGTCAGAGAGGCACATGAGGAGGCGGGGCCGGGGCCGGGCAGTGGGAGGGAGGCGCTTTCGAGTGGCACTGTAGCCATGAACCGGCAGAGCCACCTCCTCAGGGAGTCCTTGCTCACTACTGCTGCGGCTCCTTCATATGGGCACAACACGTGTATAGCCATGCACATAGCATGTGCACATGCAGAGACACATGTGCACACACGTACAGACATGGGCCCTGTGTGCATGTAGAACACATGTGTGCAGACACACTTACATGCACTACAGACACACATGCACACATGCATGCAGACACACACTGTACTTGTGTTAAAAAGAAGCAGCAGCTGGGTGTGGGGGCGCACACCTGTGATCCCAGCACTCTGGGAGGCTGAGGCAGGATGATCCCCAGGTCAAGGCCAAACTAGGAAACTTATTGAGTTTGTCTCAAAATAATTAATAATAATAATAATAATAATAATAAAGTACAAAGGGCTGAGGATGTAGCTCAGTGCTCCCTGGGTTCAGTTCTCAGTGTTGAGGAAAACGAAGGGAAAGGGAAAGAAGAGGAGGAAGAGGATGAGGAAGAGGAGGACTAAGAAGAAAAGGAGGAGGAGGCGGAGGAGGCAGAGGAAGGGCCAGCAGCAGCGGCTGCTCTGCTCCATGGCCTCTGCAGCCTGCTCTTCACGCTGCGCACTGTGCTGGGCTCCACGCCTGGGCCTCAGAGCCCTTGGCTGCAGGTGGGGCCCATCACAGCCGCCCTCCCTGGGCTGAGGGGACCGGACATCGTCAGTCTGTCAGGGGTGGGGAGGGATGGAACTGCTGCTGTTGGCTTAGCCCACGCTGTGGTCTCTCTCCTGACTGTCTGCAGTGCCAGCTGTCTGCAGCGGCTTCAGGGGCCTCGGTCCCTCCATGCACCTTGTCACATGCGGTGTCCTGGGTGTTTCCACGACTCAGTCCGGCCTTGCACCTGACTGGTGGAGCGGCTTGGAGGAGAGGGCCCCCAGGGGATGCAGAAATGCCACAAGGCACTCTCCTTTTTTGCTGGGTTCCGTGGACACACACACTTTCTATCTGGACTTCAAGGGGCTGCTCATCCTCCTGTGTCCCCACACCCTGCCACCAAGGCCCAGGCGCAGCAAGGGACCCAGGCTGGGCCTCGGTCCTGTTACACTTCTCTGGGGACAGAGCCCTTCCCCGGGCCGGGAAGGGAAAGGGAGAGAATGTGGCACGACACCTGCCTGTGGCTGGTGTCACGGCAGCCCACGGAAGTGGGTCTCACCTGTGAGACAGCACTGCACAGGGCCTGAGGACCTATCGACGGGCTCTGGAGACTTCTGGGAGCTGCTGCATCTGGCCACATGCGAAGCCAGACCCCACTGATCTCCCAGTTATATGACCCAAGACATGCTGTTTTGTTGAAACCAGTTCAAGGTGAGTTTATCACTCCATTTGAATAACTCCTCCTATCTTGCCAGGTAAGTTGGGAGTCAGCTTCCTCATTCCCATGCCATGGAACTTTCTGGTTTTGAACTCCCCTCAGACGAAGTTTATAGCCACTTCCCTGGGGACACTTAATGTTTCCTTTTCCCATAGACTGAAAGTTATTAAATACATAAAATAGAATAAATTGAATTACACAGGAAACCAATTATCTATCAATATAACAACAATGAAAGGAAACTGGTGCAGTAGTAATCCCTGTGCCTCAATATAAATGCCCTAAATAATCAAGTGGGGAAGGGGCGAACCCATAGGATGGGAACCGTGAGGTACACCAAAGCCATCCTTTTAGGACGGCCCCCTCGCGGCTCTGACTGGCCAGCTTCCCCCTGGGTGCACTGCCCACATTTTGCGAGGCTCTGGGTCATGCTAATGCGCTTATTCAAGTCTGTTCAAGTCTGTTCTCACACTCAGCCCACGCACAGGGGCTTCTGGACAAGTGACCCTATAGGCATCTGAGACCTCACAGAGCTTGGCATCTGGTGAAGACTTATTGGAGGTATCATTTTGTCAAACCACAGATAGTCAAGATGCCTGTGGGGGAGAAATAATTACTGGGGTCACCTACGGCTCCTGGCCTTCCACTGGCATCTGTGGCACTGTCCTGTGGGGGCAGGGGTAGTCCATAGAAGCTGTGCCAGTGGGCTGGGGGTGTCACGGTCACCAGGCAGCCACATCAACTTCTAAGTCACCCCAGCATGGGCCAGGCTTCATGCTGACAAGAAGCCAGACCCTGAGATGGGGTGCTCAGGCCCCCTACTGTGGGGTCATGCTGAGGACTGGGCACCTGGCTTCTAGGGGCCCTGGGGAGCTTCACAGTAAACTGAGTCAGCCAGGTCACGAGGTGCTCTGCAGTGCAGGAGGCTGCTGTTCTCCCAGAAGGACAAAGTCAGAGAGGTATGATCCCTCCCCTTCTTCCTTCTCTTGATCAGAAGGGGTTTGAATCTGAGAAACTCATGATCCCATTCCTGTTCTGACAGCTCCGAGGGGAACTGGATGAGTTTTTAACATGTCCCCGAGCTTCTGTTTCCTCAGGACACATGTGAACCTGCCACAGACCACAGATGAGTCCATTTCTCAGTGGGGCTCCATGACACAGTAAATGAGATTGTGCATTTACAGCAGGTAGCAGCCATCCAGCCCCTTGCTTGTCAGTGTATCCATCCATCCATTCATCCATCCATCCATCCAT